GCCTTGGAGCCATTTCGTAATTGTCTACCATTACCTTTAACAGCCTCGATTACATTCCTTACAATCATCGAAGGTCTTCCAAACCTTTGACGTATTATGCTCATAGCCTCGTAGTAGCCCTCTTTTGGCTTCATAAACTTACAGCACTGTATAGCTCTTGAAGAAACTCCGGTGCAGTACCTCAACAAATACATTAACTTAATTTCATCATTTAATAAGAAACCACTCAACATGTTCTCAAACTCTGATAAACTGTGGATAGTCGGTTGGGTTTCCATCAAAGTACCGAGGCTCGAATTTAGTTAAATTTAAACCCTTACTATCCCTAGACGGCGAAGCGTGAACATCAGACTCATCATGCTGACCATCACACATATCATTACAGTTAACAAGCAACTCAGCATCACCTACTTTCCTGTCTTGTTCCAAGACACTTTGTTGTTTCTTTCATCCAGGCATCACTGAACTTTACCAAGCAATCCAGAAAAGTTCCAGATAACACTTGTCCAAAGAAGACGGACAGACACCAGGAAAGATGAACAGAATCTCTCATAAACTGCAAATATCCAGCCCCTACTACGCTGGCCCTCACGCTGTCACTCGAAGATTTTCAGAAACGATTGTGAGTAACCAACGCGAAAAACCAGAGCACAGATTGGCGATTCGGGAATCCTTTATTCTTAGGCCAATATTTAACCAACAATAAGGTTATTATACACAAGATATCTGATAGTTTTCTCTCTCCCAACGAACAGCAAACAATGAGACAATGACTGATGTATTGACGACTCCCACGAAGAATATGGAGGAGTTGGGTTTGGGCAAACAACCATGAATTGATCATTCAGTCTTCAACTACATTGAAATACCATTTTGCATCGTTTAGACAGATTTCGCTTCAATAGAGTCTTTCGAATTTCTTGTTTATATTGACACTTTTTCAATCGTAAACTAATTTCGGGTTCAGCTATTCCATTCTATGTGTTTCGACGCCTGGTAATCAAATATATGTTTTTCATTCACTGTTCGGCAGCTCTGATCAGGCCTTTTTAAGAAAAATCCTGGAGTTGGAATCTAAGAAATTCTGTTTAGAGGACAAGGTCTGGGGTTTTAAGGCAGTTCTCCGTGCTTTTTCACCTGGAGAGAAGTAACTATTGCTTGATTTCATTCATGCGATAATGTTCTCGTTTTGGGCAAGGGACTGAAGGTGTTTAGTGGGTAGAGAATTGAACATCCAACTCGTCAATGACAAAGTCCGTAAATAGATTGTGTGAAGATTTAAACGCAATAACTCAAAGGATGCCGAACAAAGAAAATATTCTGATGCTTCTTGGGGTGATGCTACATTCCCTGGTGACTCCGAGGTAAGACTCATCGATCCTGAATTCAGCAACCAGCTGTTTCATTTGCCGTAGCATTTGAGTGGGCTTACGGTCCCCAAGATGGACATCACAAACAAGTTCGTGCACTTTCTGTTCATCCGTCAGTACGACGCGTTTAATGAGGATGGCTTTGATACAATCATACAAGTCTGGAGCAGGAACGTCTAGGACTTCTGAAACGTCTTCCATAAGGTTTCTGGGAGGCTAACCATGACTACTTTGGTTTTTGCCTCCTGGGCTTGAATGCGTTGAAGTGTGAATTAGGCTTCGGCAGATGCGAACCACGCTGCCGGGCGATTTGCCCAAATAGTAGGCAGTCGCAGCGTAATCGCCGTTGCAGACTTAGCACTATCGTCAGCCATTTCAAGACAAGTTGTGAGTAAGTCAAAGTATGTTTCTGCCTTTAAATATATACCATTCGCTCAGCCCATTGTTGAGATGCGACCGCGTAGGCTCTGCACAGATTTATGGGGAATCTTATAAATTAACTTGCTACCCATTGTCGGATCTTTAAATACCACTTCACAGTGCCTTATCTCACTTATTTTCTAATAACGTCTTTACTTGATCCTCATTATATTCCATTAAACCTAACATTTTATAGCTCTTTATGAATTTGATTCGACTTATTCTATTCCTATTCTCTGTAGGGTACGGTTGTGCACCAAACAGACAAGAAGGTATGACATAAAAACAACTGGCTTGAAAACGATTGTATTAAAGCCAAAAGTGGACACCATGATAGTAAGACATATATGGGTAGCATTATACATTGCAAATGAACGTTGTCAGCCTGGGGATCAATTACTTCCCCATTCTCTTTCCTATATAAATGTATTTATTAATGACATATTGCACTTACTTAATTTAATACACTTTAATGATTCACCTTAGCACTTTAACTTTTCTAAAACAGCTTGCAGTCCCTTGTAAACGTTGTACTTACCTCAATATTGGTTGGTTATCGTATACCTACAACCATGGGATGAAAACGAAATGAAGTCGATTTGCCCGCTCAACCTGGAGGACAACTGTACAATTCAATAACCATACGGCCTGGTTCAGACAATGAGTGTATTATATATATATCAAATATTTAACAGTTGAAACATTATTAACTTGCAGACGATCTACGATTTGAGACTATATCATACTTGATCGTGCCTGTAAAAATGGCATGCATTTTCATGTAAATTTATATGTTTATATGAAATATAAATTATTATTATTATGCAAATATGAAACACAAAAACACGAATACAAAGGCAGTAGAAAAACTGAGCGAGGTAAAAAGGAAACAAGATACCAAGTGAAATTAAATAACTGAAGTAAAACCTTCGGGCCTAGATGATGCAGATGAGTCAGTATAGGGCTCACCATTTGTAAGTGCAGATGTCAACCTCCAGATAGCCTTTAACATCAGCACATACTAAAGTTGCCTTCCTAAGTTAACCCTGATCAGTACTCTACCTAACGTGTAAGTACCAGTAAACGAACTAAAAGTAAAAAGACTTGTGTTTAGGTGATGCGCTCAGGTGGGGATTATATTTTTACAACAGATTAAATGTCACACTTAATAAACGAGAGTACAGTATAACTTATCTGTTAACTGGCTGTGGTAGAGAGCTCAATAGTGAGTTTGGCGATAAGACAACAAAGGAGAAGCCACGTGCGAGTGGTCACAGTGGAAAAACAATGAGAGCGTGGCGCCATATTACATGAATGCATTGAAATAAAAGTTCAAACATTCAAGGTGCACTACAAGTCTTTATGGGATTAAAGAAATTCGTCATTTCAAATTGAACCTCAGATATTTCACCTCCAAAGATTTATTCCTTCGTCTGTGCTGACTGAATCACACAGACAACAATCGGATTTCAGGGACAAGAGTACGGTTGCAATTCTGTGGTGTGATTGTGTATCCCGAAATTCTGATTATACCACCATTAATAAATGAAGCTTTGTGCGCAGTAAGTATTATATTCTTCCCTCACTAACTGGAGTAGTGTTAAGAACTACCTGGCCACCAGGCCCAGTTGGCCAGGGCAAAGAATCAAGAGGCAGTGTGTTTCCAATTGTAGATGTAGCAAAATAGGTGAACACAGGGATCACAAGCGTCATTTTTGGGTGAAGCTAACCGGGAGGCGAGCTTGAAGTCGTCCAGGCAGCGCGACTAACTGGCTTTCTAGAGCAGAAATCAGTGTAGAGAGTGTAGTTAGTCACCACTCTGGTGGGCAAGCGAAGTAGAGAATCGTAGTAGAACAGACGGAATAATACTTTTCACCTGGTAAAGTTCACTAAGCAATAGGGAATTTACTTTTCTTTACGACTTGTTTTCTTCCATATGCATTTCTTAACTGCTAATCGCCTGTTGAGTGAACTTGGGGTTAATGGCACCTTCTTTGTGGCTGCCAGCCACTAACTCAGCCATGCGAAACTTATCACGCACCGCGAATATTCCTCGAACTTTCCTTCACGGAGTCATGCGTTGAGTGTAGGCCCTGTGACAGCGATTTGGTATGTTAGTCACTACTAGACACCGTTCCACCTACAGCTTAACAAGTGCTTCTACCTTCGGCTTTTTCTATAGACCTTATCGTTTCAACTAGAAATAGATCGGCATGTGCCTGTCTAGTTCAATCATTCTCATTATTCATACAACCGTCTTGCGATGAAGCTGACGTGAAGCATAATGTTTCTCACCATACCGTAACAAAGTGGCCAGTATATGTTGAATACTCGTGTCATTCAAATCTGACAGGTTTGTAGACAAGGCAAGAGGAGTTCACTAGGTTCTTGAAACGTGGGGTATCTTTTAGTCTATAACGGACCACCCTTGTGGCACTGGGAAACATTTCAAGGGGCTGTCAGAGTTTGGACAGAAAAATCAGCATACATGATTCGAATACATCCTATCTTTAATTTATCTCCAAGTTTATAAAATGCACAGGTATACTGGGGAAGTTCGCATAAATGAATGCATTCCAGTGTGTTTAGCCGTATATGCAATAGAACTTTTGAGTTATTCGAGTAACTGCATGTGCTGCTTAGTTTCTGAACCGCAGAACACCTTCCTGCGAGTAAAATGAACATTTCTTACTCTTGGTAATTTGCACGAAAAAGGTGAACCTAGAAGTAGTATCTCTCTATCGTGCCTCGGACTGCAATTTTGTCATGACGCACAGAAATTCATGAACAGCTTCGAATAATGTTCACCCTTTTTATCATGTCTGGAGACGGAATTGAAGGTAAAGTAAAAAGGATGGGAAATTACTAACCAAGTTATTTACTATGACTAACTATAAACCCATCTACCTGTGTTACTTATGTTACGAAATGAGGTATGAATACCACATTCTCAAGGATAAAAAGCGTGCTGATTCACATTTTTGTTTTATGTATTTCATAGACAATTTACTCTTTATGGGCAGGATTTCCTATTAAAGTCTGTGAACATGGTTCTCCTCCTCTTCCTCATTTGTATACTCTACATTCAGAGATAAAACCTCACTTCATGTAATACTGAACACATTTTAAAACGTTGAATAATGTAAAACGTCTTAAGGTCACAGTGTCGTTGAGGGAACATCAGATTTCTGTCTACGTTGCAGTGTAGGGATGAACGCCAGGATCGGCCGTAAAAAGTCGAAGAACCCCCCGTATTTTTCTCATGAGTTTGTTATCACGAATCATGGGGATATCGTCAGCATCATTGCAATGTTAATTATCGTCGGTCTGCTGCACAAGGTTTGACAACGCATAACAATTACCGTTAAATTTAGGGGACACATGTTATGTCTTCATCATTCATATTTATTCAGTACAATAATACAGATGAGCGTAGGTCGTTGTAAAGCTTTTACGCGAAATTTTAGATCAGGAAAGTGCCTTATTATACAGTCCAGGTGTCAAGGATTTGTGTGCAATATTTTTTTATACGCTTATATGTATTGTTGGTCATGCCGTACTTCAGGAGTATATCTTCGATGTAAGCTATTAAGTCGAGTATTTACCTTTTGTAGAAAGTTACCCGGAAACTAAGCCTAACAAAAGTACGGTTGGCTAAATTCAATGAGTCGGCACACCTCGCTTGTTTTTATGCTTTATCCACCGTTTGGGCAATATACAGCATCATCAATGAAGGTTTTATACTAAACCTAAGTAGCTTGTGGGATGACTATCCACAGAGATGGATGCCATTCTGGATTAAATTGTTTTTCATCACTCAGGTAAAATTTTTCTTTTTCTAGCTGTTATTTTTAGATATGCTATTGGCTTCATGATTACCCAGAACTTTACTTCCAGCGAGTGAAAAGTGTAGGTTTTGTCTTTCAACAATAATTTTGTAGGAACTTATACCTGCACGAGTGCTTCATGCAACAATCTATCTACTTGGAGTGTCCCTGGCATACATTGGAGGGTAATTATCATGTAGTAATTGTTACTTTGAAATATAGATTGAGCAAACTTTGTATGGTGCTGTTAATACTTCACTATAGCACTGACTTCTTTTTGCATGTCGCTCGGGCTTTATATCTTGCAGAATACAAATATTCATCCATTGGGTATGTTCTCCGATGAGGTGTAGGATTTTATTTGTATTGTTTAGTTTTGCAATATGGAATTGGACTTTCATACCCGTGCGTATGGCCTGCGTCATTCTTGGTTTCCTCACATTGCAGTAAGTATCTGTTAATTGATAATTTTCGCTTTTAGTCATGGTTTAGGGAAAAATTCCGTTATGTACGTTAATATTACCGAGGGGAACTTCAACACTCCTTCCATAAGGTGAGTAGAATTCGCCTTCTTAACTTTTCGTTTCATGTATGCTAAATGAATCCTTTCGTCAATTTTTTAAAACTATGTAAACTTGTTAGCTTTAACATCCAACTTTCTTGTTTCCACTCCGTGCATGTCAACAGTTAGTCAAGTCAAGATGAAAAATCGTGTACTACTGCCAACTTTTATTTCGATTTGCAGTGGTTCGTAGCTATCGTCTTGTGTCAACCTAATGTACGTGAATATTCTGAGGCATTTTGAATTATGATTTCAGCTATCGAAGCAGTAGTTTTAAATGTCATATTTAGCTCAATTTAAGAAATATCAATAGTTGGCCAAAATCCCTAAGAGAGGCATTCATATCTCGACATCCGTGGTTGTGAAGCTGTTTTGTGGTTCGAGTGGTCTGTAGTCAGTCAGATCTCTAGAATGTATTTGAATTTCATAACTTATCACCATATGGTCATAGTTATGACCAAAATATGTCCCTTAAGTTTACAGTGTGGCTTCAAATTGCAGGGTATGTCAGTTCCTTTGGGTTTTTATACTTTCTGTAGCGATCGTTAAGATAATAATATACGATATTTTTAATTCATTCAACTACATGAGTATTATGAACACTGAATAAAATGGTGTGAGAGGGGAGGAGAAAAGTCAGTAAAACCTTGACAGACTTACACAGCTGACAGTCGTCACGTAGTAGTTGTAAGTAGTCGGCTGGAAGACCTGAACGTAGGTTTTGTGCTTATTGGCACTGAATAAGGTGCGTCTGCAACATCGGGAGAATTGATGTCTCCTGAGAGAATTAAATTCGTGTTTACTGTACTATGAGTATATATAAAGAATTCCAATGGTATTTAGTCGTGTTTCGAAATGGGGACGGGAGTATAGTAATTGCGTTATATGATGTGTACAGTGATGAACGCCAGTGGTGGTTCACCAGCTGTCTGCGTAGTTGCTCAATAACGTATGTAGTCGGAGTAGATATTCATTCTAAGATCAGTTTCCATTTAAAAAGGTAATAACTAAATATTTTGTAACGCTTTAAGCTTTGCGTAAAACCCATCTATGTGGAATAGTACATTGTTAGAAACGACATTAATTTCTGCCCCAGTTCAGATTGTCCCAGTATTATAAAAATCTATCAAAGAAAGCTGTTGGAAATTTAAAGCTTGTAAAATTTTAGAGAAAAGTGGTTGAAGAGCCTACTATGAATCAAGAGTAATCAGAAGTTTAGAAGAGTTTGGGTGGATTAGCATTTGTCTTCAACTCATGATCCCTAATACCGAGGAGCATGCTCTTGATTCGTTACAACCCAAATATTTGTCTGACCACGTTTCATCTTGTTTCAACCTAGTTCTGTACTTCATCTTGAAGTTAACACTGAAGGTATTATCTACAAAGATCACTACAATGTGCATTAGTTACTTGTCTAACTTTATCATGTACTCTATATAAAGGCTTTCTAGAAAAACTGTCTTACGGCCTGGAAATTCTCACTGATATATTCTATCGGCTGGCGAAGCAAATTATTCATACATTTTTGTTAGCCAGATCTACCTCACTTGTTGGTATTCGTATGTATTAAGTTGTTCAAGTATGGTAAAGCAGCTATTCGTTTTGTTTCTAATAAGATTTAATATAAGCAAGAACAACAATTGTACCAGGATAATATAAGCTCATCTTTTATTATTTCGAGGATTCTTCTCAACTGGTTACAACCTGAACGATAAAAACTATGAATTACACTAAAGATTTGAACATACTTCTCCACGATTATAAGGAGTAATTGGTAGGAATTAAAAGTAACATTAGTCCAGAATGATTTAACTGATTAGGATTTACAAACACTTACTATTTATAGAATAATTAGACAATTAGGCTTGGAAACAAAAAACAGGGTTGCGTATATATATATATATATATATATATATATATAGTTTTTATCGTTCAGGTTGTAACCAGTTGAGAAGAATCCTCGAAATAATAAAAGATGAGCATATATTATCCTGGTACAATTGTTCTTGCTTTGTTCAAATTTATTAGTGGGAAGAATTTGATGAAGTTTTTAAGATTTGATATATTGATCCATTATAGATAAGATTTTATTTTGATAAATCACACTGTTGTACAGTAATAATAACTGTACTGTTAATATTACTGTACAATATTGTGTGATTTATCAAAATAAAATCTTATCTATAATGGAGTTAAACTATACCGCAATGCCCATGTTTTATACTTATATCATTTGATATATTGATGTTAATATTTTAATTGACAAAGCATCCACCTATATACAATTAACTTTTTTATTATAGAACTGCTGCAATGTTATTTTTCTTCATTGCACAAGCTTTAATGGTTTGGAATTTCATTACGTTTCATCAAAGATACCGTAGAGATAAGCATCAACAACATTCACAAAGTTCTAAGGGTTGGTTTTTCAGCAGCAGTCAAGATTCTACTCAACGGAAAAAGGAGAAAAAGAAGGGTATGTTTGCTAATTTCGTGGTATTATGCAGTTTCGTATGCTTTTTAAAGGGGTCAGTAGGTCAACATTCCCATGTATAGATATATACATGTTGACGGGAGTCTGAATTAAGAGTGCGGAAGAAAAAAATGTTTTGTTACTGTGATTCCATGAGCATGTTGACAGTTTCAGTTTATCAGTTAAGGTCTCTGCTGTCTGTCAGACACAGTGACAATACACGTGAAAAACCAATCATTGTTTATACGACTAAATAAGCCATCCGGGTCTTCGACTCTGTCGATCGGGAAGTTCTCTGGAGATGCTTGGCTGTAAAGGGAATTCCAAGAAAATATATTGCACTGATTAAGGCACTCTACTCGTACTCATACAGCCAGGTGAGGGCTTACGGCGAGCTGTCATCTGAACTGATGACGACCAGTGGTGTCCGTCAAGGATGCCCATTATCTCCTTTTCTATTCAACTTCATCATAGATGTGTTAATGGACTTAACCCTAGGTGACTTCAGCGATTCAGGGATTGACTTGCTACCTGGGAATAATCTCGTTGACTTGGAATATGCAGACGATATAGTCCTTCTAGGCGAAGACGCTGACAAAATGCAGAGTCTTCTAAACACCTTGAACAGCAATCTACGAATGTTTGGCATGCGATTCGCTCCCGCCAAATGCAAGATGATGTTACAGGACTGGACTACATCGACGCCTAGTTTAAAAATAGGAAGTGAAGTGGTAGAGCACGTTGACCGCTTCACTTATTTGGGAAGTACCATCAGCCCCAACGGGCTGATCTCTGACGAAATCTCAGCACGAATACAAGGGGCTCGTTTCGCATTTGTTAGTTTACGCCGACTCTGGCGTAGACGAGATGTTCGACTATCGACCAAAGGGCGGGTGTACTGCTCATCAGTCCGCTCCGTCCTCCTTTATGGTTGTGAGACCTGGCCACTGAGAGTGGAAGACATGAAAAGACTAGCTACCTTTGATCATAGGTGCCTGCGTTCTATTTCCCGTGTAAAGTGGCATAATAAGGTGAGCAACATGGAGGTTAGGCGTAGAGTTCTAGGTAAGGAGGGGAAATCAATCGACGAAGTCGTGAAGCTACATCGACTGAGATGGTTAGGACATGTGTTACGTATGCCAAGTCATCGCCTCCCTCGACGAGCAATGTTAGCGGATATAGGGTCAGGCTGGAAAAAAGCTAGCGGCGGTCAAACAAAAACTTGGCACCAGTCAATGAAATCCACAACAGTTGGTCTAAGCCACGTAGGAAGGTGTAGACTTCCAGGCTGGGGTCCTCGGGACGGTAAAAATCTATGGCTGGAAACAATTGGTGACATGGCTCAAAATCGTTCTCAGTGGCGCAGATGCATCCACTCCCTGTGACTTATGATCTTCAATGAAACTGTTTTGTATTTATTTATTACTCCTTTGTCTCACACCTCTGCTCACTGTTTCTATTATGCTTTTCTTGTACTTTCTTCTCTTGCTTCGCGTGCTACACGGAATGTGGCGACTTGAACTTCCGCACATTTGTGCAAAGTTCTATGTCGAAAACAGACAGACAGATCCGGGTCTTGTGTATGTATACTTAACAGTCGAAAGTGGCCTTCTTCATACATCTCCTTAGTTGCTTCATTTGCTTTGTGTTAACTAATGAAGTGTGAAAGTAATGCCTTTTCAGACTTGGAACAAACACCAACAGCATAGGTGATGGTCTAGTTGTAGGTTACCGACATTTCACAACTACTTTCCTAGCCTTCGGCGAATACATGAATCCGTATCCTCTTACATGACAGCTGTAGCATGATGTAACGTTTTATATGCTACTTTTTTCATTAATTTATGTTCCGAGTAGAATATAAGGCTTCAGTATTTTCGGTGTTCCTTTTTGGAGTGGGATTGCTAGCCTCATGTCCAACCTTTCTTCGTTTGCGAGCTTTCTACTGCTTAGTAAACTAAGCAAAATGTTCCAGTGCGTCAGCTAAGAATTGAACCTGTACCTCCTGTGGGGGATGGTGAGCGTTCAGCTATTGAATCATTATCACTTCTGTATGTTATTATTAACTCATAATCTGCAAAACCATTTCAAAAGCAATCTTTTGCGTTATTTGCATAAATTATAAGATTGACTGGTTTTTATTCAAAACGATTGTGTTTTACAAAATAAAATGTCTAATTAGGACAAATAACTTGCAGGATTTCTTTCACTTTAAAATAACTGCGTACTACTGATGTAGGCGCTTTCCAAACCTATCATCCGATGAAAGTTGACACTTAAGTACAAAAAGTAGTTTAAAGAATTCACTCAAAAGAGCAAAGCAGTCAGCATATCGCTGCTCTAACTTATTAATCTCTTTTAATATGTATTTAGTGCCTCCTTCAAGAAACTAGATTTTCACATGCCTAATTGAATTGTAAAATGCGAGATGTTTTCTAGGAGCATCACTAGTTTTTGTGAGTGTTCAAATCTTTCTTAGAATATATATCTTGTTTTATTCGAATTTCAGTGAAACGAGAAGACGAAGACACTAGTGACCAGACAGAAACTGATCAGAATTCACAGAAGGATGTAAGACGACGCAAGCTAATCAAGGCTAGACCACAATAGCCAGCATAACATCTTCACGTTTCTTTTCTATTTGATACTCACTACCACCTTATCCACAATAGCATGTTTTCTTCCTACTTGTGTAAAAATATTGACAATTCTCGAGTTCGACTGTTTTCTGTTTGATTGTTTTTTTTCACGTTGTAACACTTCCCCATTAACGTCTTTTTGTGAAGTCTCATCGACGTCAGAGTTACAATTTTGTTCTTCTCCTCTTACATCCGCTTTACTGTCTTTTTGTCTAGTCTGCTTTGGAAAATCGTGTGTGTGCCATGATAAGCTTCAAAAGTTGTTTCTACCAAAATGAGTCTCACATTCTCCACTTGTAAAATATCGGAGGATCAAATAAATCTTACATCCATGGACATTATTTATCTTAAGTATTAAAATCCAATCAGTCAGTGTTACCAAACAAAGCACGTGTAAGTCTATACGGATGGCAACGGACCAAATCTATTGTGTGGAGGTTGGGGTTACGCAACCGTCGATGCGAGGAGCGGAGTTCTGACTTATGATCCACTCGAGTGGAAGTCAGTTAAGCGCCTAGACCAATGTGCCACAGCTCCACAAGTAATAAAAACAAAACACAGTACGGTTTTAAACACACTGTATTTTCAAAAAAAGAAGACAAAATATGCTACAAAAAATTAGTAGACTCCACGATTTGCGTACGGTTTTACTCGATATATGCGTACAAGCCAACTGGAAGAGGTAAATGCTTCTTCTAAGCCTTGTAGCTCATAGTTTCGATGTCCGATCACTTGTCCGCGTACTCGATCAAATCCTAATGGTTGATCTGTTTTAATGAAATAAATTTGAAAAAATGCCAAATAGAAAATAAGGCACAGAATGCTTCAGTAGGTGCATGCAAAATATAGGACATTACAATAGTGAATAACGGAAGTTAAAAGTTATATTTCATGCTTGGAAGTATTACAATATCAAATCAGTGGATCTTCTAGTATTCGGTGCTGGATTCACAAACATAATTTCAGTGTTCATCATGTTATGATGGATTCATAAACATGGACAGCTACTCAATATTGTTTTTAAAACCGTAGTGTTTATGATAAAAGCTTTTAGTTCTGAGAGACGCTGTAACGACAGAAGGCAAGAGTCAAGTAACAGATCGTTTACTAAGGAAATCAACACATTAATAGATTTTTATGTACATATTATAGATTATTGTCACCAGAAAAACACAGCCCTCCGATTGGTTGTTTCTCACAGAAAGTTAACATTGCATCCCTTTGTGACTGTTTCTTGAATGTTAGATCATCTATATGTTAACTGTATCCGCCTACGCAAAGCTTTTGTTCTCATTTTTCTCACGACCAATATTGGGGACATAAGCATTGATGTAAAATACTGTTCCCAAATTTTGATTAACAGCCAGCTCTCACCACAGTACTATTTATTGCTGATACTAACCAGTAACAGTTGTGCATATGTACAGAGTATCTGCTACTCCCATGTGAACACTAATGACGTAATCGTAAGACTCTGTAGAGGCTAGTGATAGGCGGAAATGTCAAAATAATCTGTTAATAATACAAAGTCATATGGTCGACCTGAAGTACAACATATCTGCTTAACAACAACTATGATATCAAAAATTGATAGTCAGGAGTCGGTTTTAGCTGCTCCCATGATTACTGACAAGCTTTTATTTCTTCTCTTCACGGTCTGTTTGTCACCCTCAGACATCCAACTCGTCGTTTTCCATTCTAGTTTCACTCTAGGGTTTGACACGTGGCGTCACTCAAAGGTTCATCAGCATGTGTCCGACCCATCTCCATTTTCTACAGCATGAATGCTGGCCGAAACGCTCTTAGTTGATTCGTTGCTAGAGTTCCTTGTTGTTAATCCCTTCTTGCCGGTCAACTGATCTTCAGTTTGGTGCGAAGGCAACTGGTGATTAAAGGCTGCAGTAGCCAGTTGGAAATGCTTTTGGTAACACACACACACGCCAAGTCTCTGAACCATAGAGAATCACTGACTGACTTGAAATACGCGTTGAAAATCCAATCTTGTTTTTTCTTTATCCTGAATGCAGTAGATTTCCACACTCATTGAAGAATAATGAAGGGTTGTGTTACTTTTCCGATGCACCCATTGATATCCTAACTTGTGACACAGCTTGTAGTTGAAACAACACTGCCTAGATAAGTGAAAGAAGTGACTTCCTTCAATTTCCTCCCGTTGACAGTGATCCGTGCTAGACTGTAAACTAACTTTTTACAAGCAAGATTAAGACTTGTCGAAAATGAGTAGTAGGTAGATTGTGAAATTCTTTTTTCGATGAGTAAAATAGGTGAACTTGGAAAAATAATTATGCGCAAGAGATGTAAATTTCCAAAGTATAGTTCAGACAACAAAAAAATGGTTGAGAATTCAAACCCTTCGTTTTCAAAGAAAGAGCTTTCTCTGAATAGTAATGTAAGCGACTCGATTCTTATTCACTAATTAATTTATGTCGGTGGTTCAGCTGCAGAACGCTCACCGACCACGCATGTGGCCCAGGGTTCGATCTCCGCCCGACAAACACTTAAACCTCTCTAAGTCGGTAAAGAGGAAACGTTGGGATTGAGGCTAGCAATCTAACCCCGTAAAAACTACTGTTACCGAAACTTCAAAGCTCTAGCTTGAAGCCTCATGTTCCACTGGGGAACGGAAAGGAATAAAATAACAATAAAATGTATTGTTTGACCAACTGTTTCAGAGTAGACACAAAGTGTGACATTCCCCCTGCCTATTTTCACCCCATTTCCATAAATCATGCTAATCTTTCATTTTAATTTGTATTGAATATGCTTTTTTATTAATTGTCGATGTCGTGGCTTACATAACTACTGTAGTCCTATAACTAGTTCACTAAACAACGTAGAACATTTCACACAAAAAATGCACCCATTCAAGCTGCCTTACCTCAATCACATGCAAGAATAGAGAAAAGAAACTACGCTGTGGACGAAGATTAGAGCATATGGGTGTATCTAGGAGAGTTAGCAAACCTTGATTGCAAGCCTGTAGTGTATATAAGCTCCAGAATCCGAACGGACCAAATGATACATGAATCTGTTCTGGTCAACTGAAAGCATGGGGACATAGTCCCACTGTCATGTGGGTCAGACATCAAATGTCAAAGTCTGGGGAGATGGGCTGGCCCTTTATGACATCACCTACTTCGGTCTAAGCATTCTGGGCAGTATCTTAGTCCACAATAGGAAAAAACTGAGATTTTGTGTGGCGCACTTCTTGGTGTCCATAATGTGTCAAGTTTGTTTTATTTAGCGGTTTGCCACTGATGGAACGTTCCAATGATATGAAATTAATCATGAAGCTGAAGTCACTTCACTTCATGTGTATTTGCGCGATTTTATAAGCTATCCAGATACAGATACTAATAAGGTAAGTAGTTGTGGGCTTTCTTAAAACTACTGGATGGTAATCACTCATTTTATCTTAACAAGAAGTGAATCACTGAACTAACCGATCCAAATAGCGACTGCAATTACCAACCTTTCGAGGTTATTTTCCACTCCTGATTCATAAGATTTAGTAAGTCAACTATATTTCTAAGTGTTGATTTGCAAGAATTTGATCGGTCACAAGTTGACATCAGTTAGAGAACCAGTGGGAAACTAGGGAGTGCTGGACAGCTATTTCGCCCTAGTTTGCGAATATTCACCAGCACGCAGTCCCTCACTGAATACATCATTGGCTGGATGGTCTACGATCCCGCCACGTAACCGGGAGGTCGTGAGTTCGAACCTCCAGTGAATGCGTATAGGTGAAGAGTTCCAATGAGGGACGAAGCAGTTGTCCAGTGCTCACTGGTTTTCCAATTGTCCTCTAACTTATTTCAGCTCGTGATCAACCCTGTAATCAACTAACGACATACAACGTCAGGGAAAATCGTTACTTAAGTCGGATGAGTTTGTTTCATGTTTAACATGTCTAGTCTTACTATGTACTGTAATCATACCAGCTAAACAATATAGGTATATAGGTAAAGAAAAGCTATGCATATGAAAGTTGATCGTGGATCTATTAAGCGCACTCTGCATTATCATGAACATTATACTAGCAATGGTTGTTTAACTGTGAAAGTTTCCTTTTGGTCCTGAGTAGAATACAGAGCTTCAGAGGCACACTTCCAACGTATTTCTGTTCTCTGTCATCTTAGCCGGCTCCGGAGCTTTCATTTCAAGAGACCTCCTACATTGCCATCCTTGAACCCGTGCCCAGCTCGTCACTCGAGCAATACCACTTCAAGGCTTCTTTTGCGTATGCCCGATCCACCATCAATAACGTTTGCCTATTAGGCTGCAGCACTACCAGAAGTCCTTTTTACTTATCTTTTCTAGCCCGGACGTCTAATATTGAGTGTCGAGCCGGCAAAAACATATTTAAACAAAAGTCTAGAATAGCTTGTTGAAAATAGTTTTAGTACCTTAAGTGTCTCTGAAGCATACAGAAGTATTATTTGACAACCGTGTTTAAGAGTGGGATCTTCTTCCTTGTGCTAAGCATTGTAGATTTCCACATCGATTTCAGAGTAGTGAACGCCAACTTTGCTTCAACCTCGTTATGTGTACACGGTTTGCAGTGAAATTATGCTACTTGTTCAGGTAAGTGAAAGTGGTGTGACTCCCTTTAAATTCTATTCCACTGATGTTTTGTGTTAGTTGGGTATCTTCATCGAAGACCTGAACAATAAACCGGTTTGACCTGCACCACCTTAAACAAGCATATTATTTCAATCGGTGGATGGTGACTAGCAGTGGAATCCAGGATGCACATTTCGTCCTATTTGGGACTCATCAGCTAACTGGATGTACCTGCATTCTCCAGCGAGTGATGGTGTCCCAACCGAGGCTGGAACCTAGTCCCGTGGTTTCAGACTCCAAAGCGTTATGCACTAGACCACTTGGAGGACACGAGAGTCACCCCTTGTGCAACGGTGGGAATACCATTACTCACTGGGGAATGCAGGT